TGCGACGTTCTTCAGGCGTCGGAATGTTAACAACATTTGTCACCCCAGGCCTTCCGGCCTAACTGTAGCTAACAGTTAAGGTGTGGGATTGTCAATCCCGTATAGATCTATACACAAATATCTCGCTCTCCTTACAAGAGACTTTGGTTATAAGTCAGGACTTGGTTGGTACTTAGGTAAGTACACGAAGACGTCTCACAAATTGCTTCAACGAATTTACTAGTAATAAAGTGAAAAACGTTTTAGTAAATAACATGTAACTTTGTAAAATAGTACCCATGTTCCATAAACTATACCTATTATAGTTTAAAATTTTGTTTCCATATTGTAACCTGAACTTTTTAAAATAGTTCATACGTTCCATAAACTATACCTATTATAGTTTATAAGTTTGTTTCCATTGATGTAAAAACTGTTGCATCTTAACATGTTTTGTAATTATTTGTAAATTTAACAGTAACGATGTTTGGCGTATTTAATAAATTGCACGTTTAAATGCATATTAACGGTAAGAAAACATAATAAACAATTTATATTTTTAAACACAAGATTTCTTGTGCTTTACTTGTATTCTCCCCTAAAACAATTTAAAAATCGTGAAAGCATAGGGGTATGAACTCACCTCGAATGTGTGTGCTAGTTCGGACGCGAAGTGATTGCGAAGGATCCCCGGGTTAGAATACGTAAAAATAGTCGTATCCTAATAATATTTATACACGATATCGTATTTAAATTAATAAAATAATTTAAATAATAATTTAAAGTGTTAGATAACACTAAATTATGTAAGAAATACTTACAAAAACAATTCTTAAAATTGTTTGAAGTGTTCTTGGTAAAAATAAGGAGATTTGAAGATCCTTATGAATGTTCTTGATAACTTATGAAGATATGAAGGAATCTGGGTAAAGTCACTTGAAGATATGATGATTTCGTATTTTAGTTGAGAGGATTCTGGATGAGTTTTGAGAGCAAATTGAAAGTGTTTGTACCCTAAAAGTTGAGAAATGAATTGTGTTTTCAGATGAATATATATATATATATATATATATATATATATATATATATATATATATATATAGCAAAGTGTTTTCTGTCCATGATGGGACTTAAGCTTATGATTTCGGTCCTTTAACATGAATGTTTTCGGCCTTAATGGGCTTAATCTTAGTGATTTCAGTCATGGTGAACGAAAACCCCTTTGTTCTTTGATTCACAACCGAAAACACCCTTTGTATTTGATTCTTATGGCCGAAAACTCTATTGTTTCTAGAACCCTAGATCGAAAACTCATTTGATGTTAAATTCCTTGGACGAAAACAACTTGATTCTTGATTCTTTGGACCGAAAACCTTATTTAGTGTAATACTTTATAGTTTAAGCCTTAAACTTTTGACTTATGTTGATTTAAATCAACTTAATTAAACTTGTATCAACATGGGTTTCAATCCACACTTAGTTACTAGCTTATAAACATGCCCTTAAGGCTATAGATGATACAATGTAACAAGGATTGAAATGTGGTTTCACTTTTACTCTGTTAGGGTTTAGACCTTGCTTGCTCTAAAATTTTCGGATTGTGACAGTGCACAATGTCAGACGATGGAAAATATCATGTGGAGATATTACGGAAGAAAATAGACCATGTAACACTAGTGGATGACGAAGCACTAATAGACTGGATACATGAAGTCCCAATCAAAGTCTTGTGTTTCACATGGAGAGAAAACCTTGGGCATATCCCTACAGCATGAGCACTTATGAGGAGGGGCTAATATTTCATCAAGGAGTTGTTGTCTATGCTTGCATGGAAATGAGGAGTTGTAACACATCCTCCAAAACTGCTCCTTCTCGATTGAGGTATGGAACTGGATTTTCAGGTGGTGCAAGAGCTAGGCTCTGGAATTTTCAAATATTGGTGAGCTGATCACATATGCAAGTAAATAGGGTAATTGCATAAAAGAAGGAGATATATGATCGGTGTATGCTATGGTACTTTATGGAAAATTTGGAAGGCCCGTTGTGAAAGGTTGTTCAAAGAAATTTACACATCTCTGGAAATAGTGGCATATAATGTTCAATCTATTATATATAATTAGGTGAAACATAGGAGAGAGAATTGGCCTTATAAGTGGGTAGATTGGTGTGTTTACCCACTGGGTTGTATGGAACTCTCAAATATTGTAACTCCTACTTTTCTGGCCTCGTCTAGCTCCTTGCTAGGCATGGACATCTTTTATAACACATTTGCCGGTTCCAAAAAAAAACTAAGATATTTTTAAGAAGATAAAGGCCCAATATAAATTTTTCACATGTGCTTCATTGATTACAATAGTGTGTTAGTCTAATGTTTTTGCACAATTAGCTATTTATAGTCATGTTAGCGACTCTATGATGAGAAAAAGAGAAAGATTGGATTTGCAAAGCACACATCTCTTCATCTTCATTGACAAATTTGTATCTTTAAAATTCTCTCGAGAGATCAAATACTTTAACGCTTTGGAGGTGGTTGATGGAGAATATGGAGAGAACATGAGAAAGATAATGTGATTTGTAAGCGAATAATTATGAAGTAATGGAAGGCGAAGGGGAAATAGTAGTTGTGGGAGATTTTAACGAGGTCCGGGATTGCAGTGAGAGGTTTGGTTCTATTTTTTGTGCTTATTCTTCGGCTGCTTTTAATCAATTTATTATTGATTCTTCTTTGATCGATATTCCTTTGGGTGGCCCTTCTTTTAGTTGGTCCAATAAATGGAGCACGAAAATGAGGAAGTTAGATCGTTTTTTGGTTTCAGATGGTATGTTTGATTTTACCCGGACACGACAACCATGGTTTTGGGAAAACATATTCCAGATTACTTTCCAATTTTATTGTTTAAGCAAAATTTCGCCTATGGGCCTTCTCCCTTTCGGTTGTTTCATAGCTGGTTTGATCCGGATGGTTTTGAAGACGTTGTGAAGTCTTTTTGTAGTAGTCAGATGGAAGGGGAAACCAATTCTTTAGTTATTTTTAAGAAAAAATTTCAATTTCTTAAAAATAATTTAAAATTTTGGAATAATACTAGACGACAAAAAAATTGAGGCTAGTAAAAAATATCTGCAACCAATCATCCATGGTATTGAGACTCGTATTGAGTCTTCCTCGGCTTCTGAGGAAAATATTCATTATTAGGTGCTTTTGCTTAAGCAGTTGCGGAATATTGAGCATGTTGAGAATCCGGACATGGATGAAAAATGTAAATATTTTCATGCTTCTGTCAATTGAAAACGGAGGCAGGTAGCAATACGGGGTATTCATGGGGAATGGGTTGTCAACCCTAATCTGGTGCAAGTTGAATTTTATAATCATTTCTAATCCAAATTTTCCAAAGACTTTGGAGTTTGGCCTACCATCACGTCTGACAACTTTAAGAAGTTGTCTTTACAACAAGTGGTATATCTTGAGTCTCAGTTCTCGCGTGAGGAGATTAAGAAAACAATTTGGGATTGTGGTTGTGATAAGGCGCCTGGTCCTAACGGTTTCACATTTGCATTCTTTAAAATGTTTTGGGACCTGGTTAAAGATGACATATTTAATCTTGTTTGGTATTTTCAGGAATGCCGCTTAATTCCTAAAGGGTGTAATCCATATTTTCTTGCTTTAATTCCTAAAGTTAGCAATCCAAAATTTACCTATGATTATAGACTTATTAGTCTTATTGGATGTCAGTATAAGAATATTGGGAAGTTGCTTGCTAGTTGTCTTGATGTTGTGATTGGTTCAGTTGTTAGTGCCAAACAGTTTGTGTTTATCAAAGATCGTTAAATTTTGGATGGACCCTTGATGTCGGGTGAGATTGTTGGTGATTACAAGGCTATTTGAAAAAAAATGATGGTGAGAAATCCTATGACTCATTGTCATGGGACTATCTTCTCAGGTTATGGGTAAAATAGGCTTCGGGGTTCACTGGTGCGCCTGGATTAAAGCAACTTTGGTTTCTTCATGGGCTTCAGTTCTTCTTAATGGTTCCCCTACAACCGAGTTACAAGTTCAACGGGGGTTACGTCAGGGTGATCCGTGATCACCTTTCCTTCTTATGTTGGCTATGGAAGGATTTCATGTGGGTCTTCTTGAAGCAAGCAGGGCTGGAGCTTTTCGTGGGATTCATATAGGTTCTTCTGAGCTTGAGGTTTCTCACATCCTTTACGCATATGATATCATTAATTTATGTGATTGAGAGCTAGAGAATGCACATCGTATTATTCGAATTCTGCAAGTTTTCTACATGGCTTATGGTTTAAAGATCAACTTATTCAAAAGTAAGCTGATTCGTGTGGGAGTCGATTATGCTATTGTGCAGGAGGTTGCGAGATCACTAGGGTGCAAGGCAATTCGTATTTCATTTTTTTTATCTTGGAGTGCCGGTGGGTTCTAATATGAACTGTATTGATTTATGGAAGCTGATTGTCGAAATGTTTGAATCTAGGCTTTCATCTTGGAAAGCTAAATTGTTGTCTATTGGCAGACGTTTGACTTTAGTGAAGGCGATAATGGGTAGTATTGCTATCTATTATATGTCTATTTTTAAAGTCCCTGATAAGATTTTAAAAACTTTGGAGATGCTAAGGGCGAGATTCTTTTAGGGGGCAGATAGTGGGTATCAAATATTACATTGGATTCCTTGGGATATGGTGTTATCTAATCACGATTCTGGCTGTCTAGAGATCGGAAATTTATTCTCTTTTAACCGATCTTCATTGTTCAAATGGTTATGTCATTTTTAACCAACCGGATTCCTTATGGGCTAGAGTCATTAGAGCCATTCACATATATGGTAGGGCTGGTTCTAGGCCGCAGGTTTGGAGGGGGGTTACCGCCCTTGGACTAACATAATTCAGTCCATTGAGCAATTTGATTGTAAAGGGTTGACTTAAAGACCTTCTGCACAATTAAAATTGAAAATGGAAGCGGTACGCGATTCTGGTATGATGTTTGGCTTGGAGACAGACCTCTTCAGGATATGTATTCTAGAGTTTTTTCCTTAGATCCTGATGCTGATGCTTTGGTGATCATGAATAGAAAGTCTGAAGCCAAGCTTATTTCTGCTTTTGGGAGACAACTGAGAGGGGTGATCCAGTTATCACAATGGAATGATTTACTTAGTCGATTGCAGGATTATGACTTCACGGATGTAGCCGATCGATTGGTGTGGGATCTCGATGTCTTTGGTTCTTTCTCTGTCTCTTCGGCTAGCTTTTATATGGACTCTATTTTACTTGGAAGTTCTGATATTTCTACTAGATGGAATACTCTTGTCCCTCAGAAATTAAATGTTCTTTTATGGCGTATATCGAGAAACTGAATTCCTACTCGGTTGAATCTTAGAGATAGAGGTATTGATCTAGATTCGGTTATGTGTCCGGTTTGCTCGTCTATAGGAGAGTCTACAAATCATATTTTCTTCTCGTGCCCGCATATTGCTCCTTTATGGAGCCGGATTGCTACTTGGTGGGAGGTCTCGATTCCAAGAAATGCTTCTGTCTCTTTGCTTATTCTTTGGGAGGATCATTCTTCTTTTGATGCAGATAAAAAGAAGACTTTTGATGTGGTTATTATTTGTACGTTTTGGTCGCTCTGGAATTACTGTAATAAACCCGTCTTTAGAATGGTAAAGCCTAGATAAGATGTTTTGTTTGATGATATTCGATCTACTTCGTTTTTTCTTTATCTGTAATAGGAGAAAGAAGTGCAAAATGTATTGGGACCGTTGGTTCTCAAATCCAAACTTATTATGACTTTTTTTGTAATTTCTCTCTGACTTCTTGCTAGAAATTTTTATTGTATTTTTGTCGTTCTAAAGAAAACTATGAAGTAATGGTGGTCAATGGCGAAGGCGAAGGCAAAGATGATAAAGAGAGATAAATGGTGAGGGTTATTCATGGTTGTATAAGGCTGATCAGGAAGGGTGGCTGTAATAGAGGGATAAGAGTGGTAATGGGTGGTGCCTATTATAACATGTCAAATGACCTTAGTAACAACTGAAAACAGACTTTAAGCTCTTAAACTACAAAAATGAAAAAGTATTTGAGTAGCTTTTAAAACAAACATGAAAAATCCGTAAGGTTAAAATTTTAACATACATATTAAAGCTAATTAAATAATATTTCACTAGGCTTGTCCTAAAAACGCAAAACAAAACACTTGAAAATATTGAAATATTGCACCTCACATTTATAAGGCAAACAAATGACTTATCATACACATAATAGGGAAATTTTCATAAAAGCCCTTAAGTTTTCCAAAAAATGTCGGTTTTACCCTTGGATGAGTTTTTGGGGTATTAAAGTCGGATACATTCACTAAATGTATCAAATATCTCATTTAACAGGTTGGACCCTTAGTAGTGGGTTACCAATGTGCTGATTTGGCACTTAATTGAGGAGTTGGCACGTCCGTTACATCTGTTACGTCCGTTTACTCCTTATCTCAACCTTTTGCACGTAAAAGTATACTTTCTCAGAATCGTTACATCATTCATCGCAAAATTAGGGCTTTTTGAAGAAGATTAGGTTATTGGAGAGTCGATTTCACAGGGTATGTGTAATTTCTTTGAAGATTGTGTTATTACAGTTCTTTGTTCTTCAGAGGTTAACGAATAACGATAATGTGTGTTTTTTTAGGTTGTTATGATGGATTGCGATTCAGAAGACGAAGGCAACACAGACCCATTTTTTGGTTTACGCGAGCCTTTCTCTGGTCTTAATGAGATGGATTTTGAGCTTCATGGCATCTACATGGATCATGAACCTGACAAAGAGTTCATTACTCCACTGAACAAGTGTAAGGATACATTTCTTAATGTGTTACTAACTAATGAAAATATTAGAAACTCTAGTTTGACTAATGATGTAAGAGAACAAGTGTATCATGGTTGTGACTTACAAAGTGATGAAGATGAAGAAGAGCAAGAACATGTGATAAATAAGTACAGAATACATGATCCAAAAACAAGATGGGACAAAATGGAACCAAAACTTGGTGACATGTTTGAGAATGTTACACAGCTGAAGTTTTGTATCCAAAACTACGTAGTCCACAATGGGTATCAACTCTACTTTGAGAAGTGTGATAGTACAAGAATACTTGTAAGATGTGGGAAAAGAAATGAGGATAATGGTTGCCCTTTCAGACTATATGCCTCATGGATGTTCAATGAAAGATCTATTCAAATCAAGACTTTAGAAGCTACTCATGTTTGTGGTAGGAAGTTCAAACTTGGCTCTATGGCTACTCCTGAATGGATAGGTAGACACTAAATAACTGAAATTGCAAATAAACCTAAGGTGAAGCTTAAAGAGATGATTACTGACATCAGACAAAGGTTTAGGTGTGATGTGTCTATAGGCCAATGTCGTAGGGCCAAGAAGTGGGCCAAGGAGCTAATTGAAGATAAATTGACTGAACATTATGCCAGAATATGGGATTATGCACAAGAGTTGTTAAGATCCAATCCAGGCTCTACATGTAAGGTGTGTGTAACTGTCAATCCAGATGGGATAAACTATTTTCATAGGTTTTATATTGGTTTCAAAGCTATATGTGAAGGCTGGAAAAGAGGGTGTAGAAGAGTTATTGGTTTGGATGGGTGCTTTCTTAAGGGAGCAGTAAAGGGTGAGTTGTTGACAGCCATGGGTAGAGATACCAATAATCAGGTCTACCCAATTGCTTGGGCTGTTGTGGATGCTGAGAATAAGGCTAACTGGACATGGTTCCTTGAGCTTCTAAAGGATGATTTAGATCTTGATAGTGGAAGAGGTTTGGTAGTGATATCAGATCAACACAAGGTAAAATTTTACATACTTTTCCTCTACTTAATTGCATAGTTATCTTATTACATATTTCTCCTCTATTAAACTAATTAAATGATTGTATTGTAGGGTCTGCTTGAATCTGTGAAAGATATATTGCCTCATGTTGAACACAGGAATTGTGCTAGGCACATTTATGCCAACTTTAGAAAGGCTTTCATAGGTTTGGAATATAAGAAGTTGTTTTGGGCTGCCTCTATGAGTTGCACACAAGGTGACTTCAAGAGGCATATGGAAAGCATCAAGAAATTGAACCCTTCTGCATATGAATACTTGATGTCAAAGCAACCAGAAACATGGTGTAGAGCCTATTTTGGATCAGGCTATGCATGTGAAGCAGTTGAGAATGGGATCTCAGAGTGCTTCAACTCAATAATATTGGATGCTAGGAAAAAACCTTTGATCACCTTGCTTGAAGAGATACGGATTTATATCATGGACAGGTTTGCTTACATGAATGAGGAAAGTGAAAAGTGGAATTCAAATGTTTGTCCAAAAATTTTGAAAAAAAAATGAATAGATTTGGGAAAAATATGAGGTATTATTATATGCTTTCTAAAACTTGTCTTAATCATTAATTATTGTTACTAACTAGATACTTGATTGTAGGTTATGGGGAATAATTCATAGTCAAGGGCATGTGTTTGAGGCCAGAAGAGGGTGTGACAGTTATAGGGTGGACTTAGATGATATGACCTGTTCATGTTGGCTGTGGGATTTGGCTGGCATCCCTTGTGTGCATGCAAATGCAGCAATTAATTTTATCCATCAAACACCAGATGCATACATCAATGCATACTTCTCTAAAGAGAAATTTAGGCAGTGTTACTCAACAAACATTGAACCTGTTAATGGCAGCAATCTTTGGGCCCAAACTGAGTACATTAAGCCATTACCTCCAATGTCTAGGAGGATGCCTGGTAGGCCTGCTACCAAAAGAAAGATGCATGCCAGTGAAAAGGAGAGCAAGTTTTCAAAAACAAAAGTGAAGGTTGCAAGAACTACCAGATGTGGTAATTGTTTGGAATATGGTCATAACAAGAGGGCATGTAAGAATGAGAGAAAACAATATGTGCCTCCCCCACCAAAGAAGACAGGAAGGCCAAGAAAACATCCCATCCCCCATGTATTTGTTCCTAACCAGTCACTAAATGAGAGAATGAGAGAAAACAATACTACAACTCCTGGTCAACCAAATGTCCCAAGTCAACCTTCATGCTCTAACATAGTGAGGAGGAGTCCAAGAAAACATAACACATGAAGGACGAGTCCAATAAAACATAAGCAACAGTTAGGTTCTAAAAGATTTAGGAGAAATATTATTGATGCACCTAGGAAGAAGTTGTGCACAAGGAGAGGTGGTGAGAGGATTGGTTCTGCAAAAACTGGGAATAATACTCCAACTTTAGGTACTCAAGAGAGTGTGGTTCAACAAGTTCCAGTTACTGATGAGGGTGAAAATATGTTTGGTGAAAATTTCATGCAAGAAGGTTATAATGTGGGTCAAAGTGTGGTTCAACAATTTCCAGTTGTAGAAGTTCCTACTGTTGTAAAAGAAGGTGTGGTGCAGGAAGTTCCAGTAATTCATATTCAGGATGGTCATATGATGCAAGAAGGAGGAACTAGTCAAACAAGTGTGATGGAAGGTAGTGAAACTTTTGGGCAAGTAGGATCCAGTATTGGTTGGAAGCTTAAATCAATAAATGATGAAATTGAACAAGGTATTGATGCAATTTTACAAGAGGTTAACTTCACAAACAAAACAAAGTCCAGTCCATTAAATGGTGACAATGAGGTGGAAGATAATGATGTTATTAAGTTTACTGAGGGCAAAGAGGATGATATTCTTCCAGAGAAGATATAAGTAGGACTTAAAGACATTGCTAATATGCTAGAAGCTGGTTATAGCATGGCAGAAATAGAAGCTATGCCAGGGGTACAAGTGGAATTGGATGATTCCCCACCAGTTGAACTGGTAAGACCTATTATCTTTTATTAATTAAAAATTTTTCTGGTGATTTTTGTGAACTAACTATATCTTTTTACACTAGGATGTAAATGATTTCATTGATGGTCATCATTCTGATGATGATGTTGGTCTGGATGGTGGAGCTGAAGGTGCTGGAGATGAAGCTATTGGTGATGGTGATGGACCTGAAGGTGATGCTGATGGACCTGAAGGTGGTGTTGAAGAAGCTAATGGACTTGAAGGTGGTGTTGAAGAATTGGGTGATGATGAGGAAAATCAGGGTGATGATGAAGGACATGAGGTTGTCCCAATGGTTAGGAGAACAAGGAAAACATCTGAGAGGATTACCAAGATAAAGCTAAGGAAGGGTGTCTATGACAAAGATGGTGGTGGTTCTTCTTCTGTAAAGGCAATCAACTTGGAGTAGTTTGTTAGCAAGAAAGGGGATGGGGGTGTAGTGGGAATGGTATAGGTTGCCACTTTTGTAAACTTTGTTTTTTGGCATTTTGATTGCAGGGTTGCCACTTTTGTAAACTTTGTTTTTTGGCATTTTGATTCCAGGGTTGCCACTTTTGTAAACTTTGTTTTTTGGCACTTTGATTGCAGCATGCATCCAATTGTTACCATTTAGGTTGCCTTTTTTGTGCATTGTTTAGGCATTTTGGTACAAATGGATGGCTGCTACATATGGGTAGTATGTAATTAAACTATATGTAATGGATACACCCCCTTCTATATTATGTTCAATCTTTTAGAATTGTTACCATTCAGCAAATTCATACCAATTACCATTTTACATCAATTACCATTTTAATTAAACTTCTACTACAAATTCATACCAACTACAAATTCATACCAATCACTTGTAATGGATACATATTGGTAGTATGTAATTAAACATGTACTACAAATTCATACCAATTACCATTTTAATTTAATATACTCCAAATTCATACCACTTGTTACATTTACTGAAATTACAATTATTACCATTTACTGGAATTAATCATCCAACACTGCAATTAACATCCATTTACTGCAACACCATTTTATGCAATATACTTACAAAACAAACCAACTTGTACTCCATTTAACATCCATACACTACAAATTAACATCCATACATTGCAATTAACATCCATACATTATAAATTACAATCCTAACATCACATATACCTACCAAAGTATCAAATACCATCAAAAGCTACATATTTCATACCATCAAAAGCTACATATTTCAAGATCACAATACTAGTGGCATAACAACCAACTGCCATTAAATCTTGAATACTACTAGAACAAGCAAGAATAATATAGCCCCTAACAAAACAACAACCATCTGCATTAATGTCATCATTTGTCGTTGCTCTGTAATCCGATTTGACTCTGGCATCATATCTTGTTTTTGAACTCCTTCATCGTCAACCCATCTGAAAAACCCACAACCTCCTTCCCCCTACATAATTAGGTCAATGCATAATACCCTTACTGCAATCCTACTAAAGAAAAGGAAAAATGATTTTTACCTTATAATTAGGGCACCCCCAAAATTTTTTGCCTGGATTTTCTGGTGTGCGTGAAACAAACACAGAGCATAAATCTTCACACCAACACTTCACTTCGATCTTCTTCTTGAATCGTGAATTCACATTCAAGCTTGATTTTGCAGAAGATATTGGCATTTTGCATAGGAGAATACTGCGGTGCGAGAGGATGCATGAAACAGCGCGGGGGGGGGGGGGGGGGGGGAAGGGTTATGTGGGAGAGGGTTATAAAATGGGGCCCATGTTGTTTGACATGTCACCTAAAGTGCCAAATCAGCACATGGGTAACCGGCTACTAAGGGTCCAACCTGTTAAATGAGATATTTGATACATTTAATGAAAGTATCCGGCTTTAATACCCCAAAAACTCATCCAATGGTAAAACCGACATTTTTTGGAAAACTTAAGGGCTTTTATGACAATTTGCCCACATAATATTGTGAAAACATGATATTTTTTTTGGTGTATCAACGATGGATTAAAATACAATAGTAAATATATATTGAAAAAACAATTAAAAAAACAATTAAAAAAATCAATAAAAATAAATAAATTTCATGGCTAATCAGTCACAGTTTTATAGAGTCAAAACAGACAAACGATTGTGAGTAATTTATTTTTTCGAAAAACTTTGTAGCTAGTTCGTTGTTGACTTTAAAAAACCAAATTTAGACATATCAAGGAAATGAAAAAGCATTTTTTTTCATGGCTGATCAGTCACTATTTTTCGAAACAGATTTTAAATAATATAATTTTCCGCAACAAAATTCTGTGTGTTACTTTGTTTTGTGGGAGTCAAGGAAATGAAAAAGGAGAACAACTCGGCCACGATAGAAAATGATAAGTACGAATTCACACTATGTGTGGGTATAATATATAGAGTCGTCATGGTCATTTGAGTGTTCGTATATAAGTGGCCATTTGGGATATTTAGGTGTAGTAGACAACTCGGCCACGAGAGAAAACGATAAGTATGCCTGCACCTCACTAAAAGGACTTTTCATGTATAGAAGACTTCATGACATATTTATTTTATGATTAACATTATTTTCTCAATCTTTTCAAATATAAATCCGTTCTATTAATTCTTTTCGTGTGACACACAATTGACAATTTCATAGCATTTGAGTTATGCTTTCATGAATTCCAAAACCCTTCTCTGAGATTCATAAACGTAGGACTACGATAATGATACAAAGATAAGAAATGCCAGGTTTATATTATGGGAAACAAAAGTCTAGTTAAGAACACTCTTTAAGAACACCCCCAAAAAAGAACATATCCTTTGATACTTTATATGTGCATGTACACTAAAACTATTTTCTTACCAGAAAAATAAAATTATTGTTATGCATATTGGACAAAACATGTTTCTAGATCTCATTTAAATTAATATATTTCTGATGCGCAAATATTTATCTTTATCTTTATTTTTACTATTATATAAAACATATTCGACATTTCTTGCAATTTAAGAGGTACAACACCTATTACATCATATACAATCATGTTATGTTTATCATCATATAGACATATATATTTATCTTTACTATTATATAAAATGTATTCAATATTTCTTGAAATTTAAGAGGTACGACACCTATTACATCATATACATTCATGTTATGATTATCATCATATAGACATATATCTTTATCTTTACTATTATATAAAACGTATTCAACGTTTCTTGAAATTTAAGAGGTACAACACCTATTACATCATATCGAATCATGTTATGTTTATCATCATATAGACATATAACGTATACGTTTTAGCCTTTCAGAATTAAATCGGAATTCTAAGCACTAATTTCGTTTCTCCTATATATCTCTAAAGCCACCTTTTCTCTCAATCAAATACTCAAAAACCCTAATCGGAGAGTCGCCGTCGTTTCCTCATCCGCCCAAGTCACCGCCCTCATTCTCCCAAGTAACCGTTATGCTTATCTTGGTGCTCACTCCTCCTTTCTACCACACCAGAAATGAACCACTATCCATTCTCCAACCTTAAACCATTCACTGTCTCTGACCGTTGTCTCCACCAACTCTCTTCCATCACACTGCTTTTCTTACAAGGAACCGTCACCATGATCTATTTCCGCATCTCTCTCTACCGTAACTCACTCTCCAACCCTGCCACTACTCATCGTCATCGACACTTCCATTGTTGTTGCTCCCATCTCTGCCAGCAATTGGTGGCTAAGCATTATGCCCCCAACTATGCTCTTCACTAAGAAAGGTAACACATTCCTTAACCTAAATTTTTCCCTAAAAGTTAATGATGATTTTAAATAAAGATGATTGTTTCTTTGAAACTATTTTTCAATATGTATTGTGGTTTTTCTAATTTAGGGTTTTGATTTGAAAGATATGTCCAAGACAACGCCTTAACCATTAGGTTTTAATTTTTTTTGTGATTCCTTTTGTTTCATTCATTAGATTGTTTAAAGATGTGCAGTAGAAGAAAGGCCCGTCATGTTTGATTAGATTAATTTTGTTGTGCTATTATGAAGAAGAAATTCTACTTTTTAGACATTTTGTTATTCAAGAGAACCATAACATGATTTCGATTGTTTAATTGAAGGTCTAGAAGCATACTACACACTGTAAGTATGTCTCTCTTCATATTTACTACTGATATGATTATACGTGTCCCCATGCTTTTTGGTTTACCAGAACCTGAATGGGATATGTATATAAGCTAACTTTCAAGTGCTAACAAAAGTTGGATGCTCTACTCTTAGTTAGATCAAAAAATATATTTTTCTTTGTTTAAGAGGCTTCTTTGATGTTAAAAATATGAATCTCGAGTGATCTGTGCATCTTTCAAAGTATAGAAAGGGTAAGTTTTAAATATTTAAGGTTGGAAACAGGGTTTACAACTTCTTCAAATTCCATGTGATACAAAATGCTCTTATAATTATCTTTCTAATGCTTTCACTTTTCACTTATTTTTTTTATTAATTATTTTTCCTAAATTGTAGCATGAGATCCTTATATCATTTGTTCCTTTAAATTCATGAGAACCAGTGTACACCAGAATAGCAAGGGTGGTTATTCACCAAAGAATCTTAAAAACACAAAAATTGCAACAGTGTAAAGTTTATGTTGGCAGCTGATTAGATTCACGCTAGACGATACAACTTTTTGTATTTTGAAGAGAAATAGTAAATAGGTTTTTTCCTTTTTAATCATACTTGTCTATATTTTCTATATATTTTTCAAAACTAATTGAAACTTCGATGATGTTGTGGGGTTGTTATGTCCTTAATGTTCTTGTTTTTATTAAATATTGAGGATGGATCGATGTTAATTTCAACTTTCTGGATTTTTTTTGTAATTCAAGATTTTTGATTTCAAAATGAATAGTTCGAGAGCACCCAATAAGCACATATCTTTGATATATCTCCTAATTTCATAATGGTTTACGTCTTCATAAAGGTTTCCATGGCAATATCTATAATTGATACCGTTCTTCGTTAAAGTAGGTGTTTGTGATGTATTGAAGTATTGGCCTATTATTTAAATGTAGAAGTATCGTCCTTATTCTTTTTGAAATCGTTTGTACATGATTATGATTAGATATTTTATCTTATGTTTCTAATTAACAAACCCATGTTTCTCCTCGGTGGCGTATATACTAGATGGAAACATAGAGTTTTCACTAAACTGAAGAAGCTTGAACCAGAAACTTGCATCTTAGAGGTTTAATCTTTGTTTCTTTTATGTTTTCTTACATAATTTTATATTTATATTGGTTTTCTTATTGATTGTGTATATGTATGGTTGAACTTAAGCTTGAACAAGAAACTCCATGTGCTCCCCTGTTCCCTTACCATGATCTAATTATTATCTTGCAGGTAACTTCTACAGATTCATGG